AAAAAAAAAAAAAAAAAACAGAACTGCCCCCAAGCGCTCATAGTTGTTGAACTGATCATAACACTTCTGACGCCGTGGAGTGGAGGACTGAGCTCTGGGTTTGCTCAGCTCGCACGCCTCCAGTATGTGGCGTCTTTAGTCTCCAATGTGACCCTCACATCCTGCACTGTGCCCCGTTCAGTCCCTGGCAGCTGGTTGATGGTTGGGGCTGTCCCCCTCCTTGCCGAGGGATCCTGTTTTTCGCATGGCGGCATTCTACGCAAGGGATGGGGGCGTCATGTCGGTTACCCAAACCGTCTCCCCACCCGCCCTGCCCCGTCTTGCCATCAGCACGCAAACCAACGCAAGCCCATCCACGCTCCTCCCTCTGAGCTTTCCAGCAACCCCGACATGCGTCTCACAGGGATCTCGTGCATAGAATGATGACCAGGCATCAGCGGCACAGCCAGGGGCGTCCAGCGTCACATTGTATTTCCGTGGGGCGGGGGGGGGGTGTTGACTGGCAGAACCCTACCACAGCTGGCAGACAGCGAGTCTTGACCAGTCTCTTAGGCGCCAACCCATTGCACCAGGAAGCATCCGATGTGGACATGCCGGAACAAATTCCAGCCTGCCAGCAAGCCAGCGGCCATATGCCAGCAGCGTCTTTAGGCGTAAGCGGCATTCGCACACACAGTACATGCTCAACCGTCTCTGCGAAATCTGCCTTGCAAGGGACTATAGTTGAAGTCTATCTTCGCCTTGCGAAACGATGGCTGACATCTACGGCAAGCCAGAATGGTCAAAAGTGCAAATGGAGGGGAAGCTTAGGCTGCGACCCAATAGTCATCTACGTGGGTGGAGCCATACTCCGTGTTATTGAAATCGATCACCTGCCGTTAGATCCAAACTTTCCAAGAGGTAAGTCGCACTCACATCCCGTCATATCAGAAACTGGCTCTTGCGACCCGAGTTGGATCATCGAGAACAAGGAGCTGCTGCTCGGAAAACACTTCGAAGCCATGCGCAACCTCAGGCACAGCAACTGCCACAAACAGCCGACCTCGGGCATTGACGTATCGCGGGGCGATTGATCCAGCATGCCGATTATGCCGATTTGACAGTTGCGCCCTTAGCTCTGGCGCAGCATCCCATCCGAGTGACTAAGGCCCGTGCGCATGCTGCGACGATGTAGGCCACAGAGACAACTGCCGAACACTTTTTCCTCCAGGCCATAATACTGCCCTACTCCACACAACTCCCTCAACAAAAGACAAGCTGAGTGCTGAAAGCACAACTTTTTGGGCTTTGTGGAGGCTGCGATCCAGCATGGAGCGTCCATTTACAGAGTTTACAATGTGCGTGGAGCTTAGCTCATACGGCCGGTGCCAGCGGTCAACTTGTCCAACCTTCGCAATCATCCAAGCGAATCTGCCTGGATGGCGTTTCACGGCCCATCACTCTGGGGACTGCACTGGGAAACACCGACAGGCATCTGTGGCAAGAGTTGCCTTCTCTGTGCTCTCTGTCACAAATGGAAGTGAGAGAAATCCTGGACATGAGCACCGGGTGCTCCTGGTGATCAAAACTTCTTTCCCTCCATCCTCACATGCCATGCTGAGAGCGCATGGGCTGCACTTCATGCCCCGATTGTACACGCCGTCAAATGCGACGGCCATGCGCGCTCAATCTTGCACATGCACTGTACACGCCAGCGCTTGCAAAACACAGCAAGACTAGTCTTTGTGATTCGCATCCTGATGGAGCTGCACGCAATACGAATCGTATCTCCTACAAGCGCTGCAACGCACCTCTCGCATCAAGGTGTCTTGTTCCCTTCATTCTACTTGCACCATGCACTCACTTGCACCATGCACTTCTGAAAGTGGACAAGCTGCCGTGCATTCAAGACGACTCGACGATATATACTCGGACCTTGGCTGAGAATCTTGTGCACAATCACGAGGGCACAGTGTGGGCTCACTGCTTGTCCACAAGAAAGGAGCATCTCCCTGAGTTGCTCGCCACTATAAGAGAGGTCAGCAAAAACTCTGCAAAATTGAACACTGCGAGTGAGTCTCTCGCGACTCTGGGCGTCTCTCAAAGTACCAGCACTGTTGTCACTGCTCTGTGCGTCCATCTGGGACTGTCACATGAGCAGGGATTCAGGCGCATCCCAATGCAAACTTCATTTGATGCAGCAAGACTTCTGCTACCCTTTGGTAGGAGACAGCCCATAGGAGACACATGTCCTGAATCCGGAAATGCTGAAAAAGATATGTCGGGGATGGCTCCAAGCGGAAGCAGCACGTTACTCACAACAAAGGTCCTACATTAACAGATTAACTGCTACGTCACTTGCAGTTGGCGATGGGAATCCAAGCGACTGCTTCAGCAGGTCAGGCAAGGAATTTGGACTCTTGAAAAACTTCAACAGAGTACTTCCGTCTTCGGGCTTCACACTATCGCCCCGTCTTGCCAAAAGTCACAGACAAAAGATCTCCGATCTTTGTCCACCCCAGCATCTCGAGGAACTCAAGGACGCCAGAAACGCCATTTCGTCACTTCACTGCCTTCAGTGAGGGTGGTCTAGGACCTAGGAATAAGCCCTGGACGAAATTAACGCGCAAGAAAGCAAAATGGTGAGCATGCAAAGTTGAAATGGGCCCAGTGCTTCAACAGAACAAAGGTGAGCCAACTTGAGGAGTGGGAAAGGGCCAAAGACCCAGTACAAAAAACAGACAAAGTGGAAGTTAAAAAGCATAAAATACAGTGTGTCAGCGATCCATGGCAAGCAACCATTCCCATAACTGTCAGCGTTCATACCCATTACCTGTCCGGCCTTTGAAAGTCCCCTTCGCTCCCTTCTCATCCATGAGCACAACTCCTGGGGCGCAACATTGCAAAGGGGTACAGTAGGAGGCTTATACCAGGCAAGTTGCAAACGTCGTTCCATGTCATGATATTAGGTAAGTATCTCAAAGCGCCAGATCAGACCGCAGGCGTGTCATCACAAGCGAGTAACAACAGCTTGAAACGATGAATTCGCTTGATTGTCCTCGTGACTTTAAATGTTCGCGAACTTCGTCAGCTTTCTTGAAATTGGCAGCCTTCCGAGCGTCATTACCTTTCACAGACAAGTTCTTCAAGCATGTTTGCATGTCCCTCTACCATGCCCTAGGCATCTTGATACCGGTCACACGACTGAGGTCCGAGCGCTCTTCTATGAGGCGCTCAATCTCCTCATCTGAGGGAGCTCCAGCTGGACGTTCACCGCGATTCCTGCGACCCCGGCTTCCACAGCGCTCTCAACACTCAGCCGCTGCCAAGGTTTTTTTCATGAAGGTGCTGATCCACTCGCAAGGAGAAATCTCTCGCAAGGCGCACGGACCTGCGCGCTTTTCGGGGGGTCTGAGCTTCAGGCATGGGCTGGACGGACTTTGTGACTTCTGGTCCAAATGTGCCTTGACTCAAAAACGTCTTTGACAGCCTTTGCAAGACCTGTGTGCCCAGCAGCAAAGCAAGCGGTTCTTGGGCATCTGCCTTTTTTGGAAATCTTGACCTCCAAATCTGGGACTGGCTTGCCATGCTGTTGGCAGAATGCCTCGCAGGAGAATGACACACCGTCGTTGCAGGCACCAGCATGTAATCCTCTCATGTTCGAATCACTGCCTTGTAGTCTGAATGCACCTTCTGCAGCTGCGTCTCGGCGTACTGGACAGCCTCTGGCAGAACCATTAGCTGGAGAAGGTACACCATCGAATTGTATGAATGCACGCCACTTAATTACCCCACAGAAGAACGCGTTTCCCAAAGGGTTTTCCAGCTTGCTGCTGCCCTCAAATAATGTCCCACCTATGGGCTTGCAACAGACATATGTCGTTGACAGCTGGGGAGTTTTGCTTGCGATGCAGTGCCCGCTCTTTGACCTGAAAGTGCCCTCACAAGCCACATGCGTATAGAAAACCGAACTTTCCGAAAAAGCGGATCATGACCAAGTAAGTGCTTGGTGGAGTGGTTTTGGCTAGTGCGGCTAGTAGAGCGGCTGGAAGTTATTGTCTTCATCCTCTGCTTCGGACGGCTCGAAAACACCACCAATCGGGAACCTAGCCGGAAGTTTTCCCCAAAACGCATCGCTTCGCCTTTGCCATAACAAGTCTAGACGCTCAGTGCGTACCGTGGCTGACTTCGCAGCTTGTAAATGCACATTGCACCAATCTATGAGCATCTGAGTGGATGACGAGTTGAGATGGGAGAAGAAACGAAGAGAGAAGGGGGGCGAGTATTGGGGCAACGACGTCATGTGCCTGAAATTAAGGGGACAAAGCAGATGATGAGGACGCGTAGAGTGGAAATCCGGCAAGAAAAACTACGAGACCTCCCTCAATCCCTTCCATTTTCTGTGTGGCATGTCCCCTTGCCATGCCTTGCATGTCATTGCACTGCCTGACGCATGCACCTTCTTGATTTGAATGTGTGATTCGAACATTTCAAGCGTACAGCATCCCTTCTTCAGCGGTGAACATCCGTCCTCAAGACCTCTGTAAATGCTGGGCACCTTGTCAAAGGCCGTCTGGTCCCGACAAGATATACACAGAGCCAACGGCTCCTTGAATTTTGATTTGAAGGCGCCGCAAGCTGAATGTCATCTCACACTGCCCAAGAAGGCCAAGAGTCGTCCCCTTCGTGAGGACCTCCGATGCCCTTTCCACGAAGGCGCGTCTTGCCCCCGTGCTCTTGAAACTTCGGATCCTAGCAGGGTGCCCCTCACGCCTTGCACAGATCGAGTTGGCAAGCATTCTGCTGTCGTCCTGCCAGATTGCGCGGGCAATCTGGATGACCCGGCTGCCCACACGGAACTCGCCCTCATTTTCCTCGGCATCATACTTGGGACTGAAGCAATGACAGGAGAGGTTGCAGGTTTCAAAATGTTTCGTTCTCTTGCATCCACAGGGCGATGCCAACCTCAAGCTTGCATGTGAACTTCTTCGGCTGGCCTCACATGAGTTGAAAACTCAAATTGTCAGACTCATGCTGGCAACCCTGGAATCTCAAGCCACGAGTGACATGAATGTGGATGATGGGGCCCCGACTGGATGCACACTAGTCTGGTGCAGATTCAGATGGACAATGGTGACTCATTGTGGCCCTAAGCAGCATTGAGTAATGAAGCTGGGGATTTGCTCCAGCGCAACAAACCCAGGACCCACCCTCCTTCTGTGACTTGGCATGTGTATGACACCCTCTGAAATCATGAATCCCCAAGTCACATATCAGCTTCTCACTTTGAGTGGCCACGGGAGTGCAGAAAGTTCCCAGAAATCTCAACGTAAATCTAGTGATTTAACACCTGGCCTCCAGGAGAAGGAGTTGGGCTTGTAGGTGTTGGAGCAACAGGAGCCACTGGATAGCCTTCAGGGTTCACAAATGCATTGCTGGTGGCCATCGCTATGCATTTCACTTCTGAGGCCTGCTCCCCCAGGCATCATCGGATTCATGAAAGGATTCCTAAGTTGCGAAAATTGGCACACGACATTGATCATGATTTCAAGCAGCACGCAGCTACTGAGTGTACCTGAGCTGCCCAGGCGCGAAGCTGCCATATGCTGTAGCAGGCCCGGATCCGGTGAGGGAGGAACCGGTGTGTATCCTGCATACGCGAAGATGGATGGAAAGTCTGATGCTCAGAATGTGCACGCATCTTTGCTCCTTGTGGGTACGCAAACTCGACTGTAAGAAACGCTCCAGACATGCCTGGCTTCTTGCAGTTGAACACTTTGCAGCTGAGTGCGTGAAGCTTTTCTGAACCTTGAAGCTGCTTCTTGTCCAAATCATGCTGTGCCGCCATAGCTTGGTGAGGCTGTGCAAACTGGACCTCAACACACTGGCGGTGCGCGTAATCATGGTCAGGCAATGGCTGGCCTGCGAAGTCGTGCCCTCCCTGTCCATCTTCACAGTGACGACTTCGCCATAGCGCGAGAAGACCTTCACACTGAGGCCAGTAGCAGGCATCAGCTGCAAGTGCCTTCAAAAATCGGGACCTTCCGAACATCGTCTTCGGTCAGCTGATACTCAAATTTGAGGCCATCAACTCTCACTGTCCTTGGTTGGACAACAAAAGCAGGACAAGCTGGGTTCATGCGAGTTATGTTGTGAGTTCTGCACTCTGCCTTCCTGTATATGATATTTCCAAGCAGCAACCAGGGCGAAACCATGGGAGGCGGGTTGGGCCACCTCACTTGATGAGGTGTTAGAAGCAGGCAGCCCTGATAGATCTCTGAGAGAGTGACATTGGCATGTTGGGCATACCTGGAACGGGTGGCATTGGAGATGACATCGACATTTGCCACCTGAGCAGCTTCAAAGGCCTTCTGCTCCCAAACACAAGCACTGTAAGCGGCTGACATCATCGCTGCCAAGTTTTGCCTTGCCAGATGAGAGGCTGCAATGGAAGCGACACAACCAAGACAAGGATGACAAACGCTGCGAACTCCTGCCAGCCAGGTCGCTGATCTTGCGAGCTCATAGCTCCCTGCTGATCCATAGCAAGTCTGCTGTACCGGCAACGAAAAACACACGAAAGCAAGCCCCAAACGAGCAACTCACCCTTGCAAAGGGTCTTGAGCCCAATTGTCCCGCAGAACAGCGCGCCGCCGAGTCTTCACACGTTGCTCAAGATCAATAGCAACCTATGCCAAACGCAGCGTTGCCAATCAGGGAACCGCATGTGCCATTTTAAGATGATGAGTCCTCAGCTTGCTTTCAAGGCAACCCCTGCATTGCACCGAACCTTGAGAACAGCCATCCGGACATCAGCTATGATAAATGCCTGCGCAGGCTGTATGCTCTGTCATGGGCCAAGCACAAGGAAAGAGCAGGTACTTCAGCATGTTTTGACCAACTCTCTTGGCAGCTGTTCTGCGTGTCACATTCCAGAGTGCAAACCGCACGTGGTCGGCACATCAGCCCATTGAGCTCAGCCCAGCAAGCCTTCGCCTCATGTCGCAGCATGCAGAATGACAATCGTGCCAGAAGATCCCTCAGCGACTGCAATCTGCTGCCATGTTGCAATGCAACCCAGCAGTCCTGAAAATCTCTGAGGTTCGTAGGCTATGTGAGAAAAACTACAAAAGCTGTCACAGTTTTATGAAGCTAAAGGCTAGCCTTGGCTGAGTCAGCAAAGACGTCCGCGAAATCTTCAAGACCGACGAAGGCCAAAAGCGGGCGCAGAGAGTTGTGCCAGGTGACATCTTGTAAGCACACCAAGCCTACGAAGGGCTTGAGACAGTATTGTAAAAAGGTGCGGAAGATCTAAGCCAAGCCACCAGTGCAGCACAGCGTCGCCAAAACTGCATACTGCGTTAGACTGCCTTCGGCACCTGAACACATGCAAAAACTCTCGGAACAAATCTTGAAACTCCGTGAACCCAGAAAAAATTCTGCAACGGCAGGGCCATGTCGTTCGACGAGCTCGGAAGACGCTTGTGCGGCAATGGTCTCTGGGCCCCAGTCGCCATCTGGAGCCTTACCTGAGTCAGCGTGGCGCATGATCATCCCAGATTGCCAGTCCCCTGACATTCTCTGTTTACAGGAGCCTGCCGAGCCACACTGTGAAATCATGACGCTCTGCTGAGGATCATGGCACAGCCCTGGGTAGGTGGCAGGCAAGAAGCACGATCCAGGTAGATCAGCTGATTAGCACCAAATCAAAAACGCAACAACTTCTATATGAAGCATACGAAGCCGTGCGGCGAATGCTGCCAACAGGGCGCTGCTCCTGCAATGCTGAGGTGACGACAAACCACAAAGGAACATACAGACTCATAATCCTGGTTGAAGAGTTCGCCAATAAGCCAGCAATTTGCCAGCCGAAGTTGCCCCTGATGGTGTATTCCTCTGCTCCTGTAGTTTCAGCATAATTCAGCAGACTTGCAGGGGCTTACAAGCTTGCAAAGCAAATATTCCACATGTCCCCCTTAAGCTAAAGTCCGAAGCTGTCAATTTCAGAACTCGCATCCATGCATACGAGGAGCATGTCCTGAGCAAGCTGAAGAAGCTGGGCGGGCGTGTTGAAACGCATGCTCTAGCAAAATCGAAGCCTAAGGTCGCATCCCATTCGTCAAACTGGTAAGCTCCATCCTCTCGCAGCGTAATGACGTAGCTCATCCTTACAGATCGCATACGTTCGAGAGGCACCACATGAGATGGCCTGCAGCTACAGGACCAGGATGCAACAGGCGTTTGCTGCTTCAATCTAGAGTCGATCCTGCGTACCGCCACCGACCCAGAAAGCCTTGAAGAGATTCGTGATTCTGGTCTGAGTGGTGTTCCAGGACTTTGTCTGAGCTCAAAGGGCGCTGGCGTTGCTGTTCCTCCTGCTGCCTAGTCGTCTCACCAGCAGGAAGCGCTGAATGTGCTCGCAGTGGTCCAAGCTGCCCATAACGGTAAACGCTTTCCTCACAGCGCTTCCCAGCCGCCTTACACGCTCGCCAATTTGGGTTGATGTGCCTCCGACAGTGGACATGCACCAACCTCCTCACCAGTGACGCCTAGCGGACAAGGCACTCGCAAGCCACGCACTGCGCAGAGTCGAGCGTGGCGGTAAGCAAACGGCATGGCCGTCCTTAGATTCGCGCTGGCAGAAAAGCCAGTTGTACACACCCTCCACGCCTCTTTTCAACAGCCACCTAGGATTCTTTGAAGCCGAAGCACACTTCAGCCCTTCAGAGAGGGACCTTCCAGCCATGGCTCCAGCCAAGTGCTCCTTCCGACTTCATTCATCCCGACTTCTTTCTTTGTCTTGCGCTATTCTGACTGCTGCCTTTTCCCTGGTCATTTTGTATGAAACCATCAACTCCTTGATTTGAGGCCAAAGTTTCAGACAGGAGGACTGACATAGTGACAGCAACCAATCGTGGCATCCGGCACTCATTGGGCACTCTTTTTTGATTGCAAGAAACCTGGCTGCTCTTGGCAGGTGCCAGTCGGTGTGTCGGCTTTGGGACCCTCTTCCGCATCTGAGCATTACTTCACCACCATTGAACCCTTGAAAAGCTTGTCACAAGCGCGCATGCCGCCACCTTCACACGGCCACGAGGACGCTCTCACTGAGGCTGGGCAGAAGCAACAAGTATCCAGGAATGAGCGGCACGCAGGACCAGGAGCAGAACCAGATCGCAAAGCCTACAAGACTTGCAACCTTCATCTACTCGTTGATCGACCAGAGGCCACTCCAGTGTGGACATCCTCCGGCCCTGGGCCCTGCGGATCCAGTTCGCGCAGCGTCAGCTTCAAGCAGTCGCCTTCATTTAAAACCTCCAGCTGCACGACTGCGTCCTTCAGAGGCCACATGTTTCTACAAACTATCCAGGAATTGGGATGTATCACATATCAACACGACTTGTAGACTTAACTGCGCTGGGTAGCAATGACTCGTTCATGTAGCCTTGCTCGCTTCGAGTCGGAAGCCGCAAACAAACAGTCCGGAGCCAAAAGCAAAGCCAGCGTGTTGCAGTTCATTGTCTCCATACCTCTAGCTGGCCGATCTTACGGAGACAGCAAAAATACCTGACCTGGAGATCCTGAAGCTTCTGAAGAAGGGGTACATGAGTCATCTGGGCACACTTGTCGAAGTGGGCGTTCGAGAGTGCTGAGTCTTCTGCGTAAAGCTTGCATAGCAGCGAAGTAATGATTTGGAAGGCCTCAGTTCGTAAGTTCCACACATTTCAGGAGCCACTTTGGCAGAGCTTGACCATGCATGTGACATGATGTAATTCCAGGCCAGAAACGCTCATGCCACAGCTGCGTGCAGACTTCAACAGCACGTTTTTGCACCACCAGCACAGCAAAAAGCGCGAGATCCGCTGCCTGTCGCGGCATCTTCCGGAACTGGCTCATTCAATCAGGATGATCACCCAACAAAATGCTACATGGGAACATGTTTCTTGATCATAAAAAGGGTTGTTGTGTCAAGCCTCATCAGAGGCCCACGAGGCCGATCGGAAATCGCGGTCCAGAGCACTCAAGAATTTCCCTACCTGTCACAAGCCCTGCTCTCTCCATACAGCCAACAAAGCCACCAAAACCATTGAAGTTAAGATGCAGTTGGATCTGTTAGTAGCTGGTCCATGGTCAGCTCAACTCGACAGCCACGAAGCGCATGGGCTGCGCTGACGTACGCATCCTGGGCAACATGCCAATCAAGGGCAGCCTCTACGCAGGTCACACTTTGGGTCAAGTCCTTGCCACCGAGCAGCCCAACTAGCCTTCCTCAGGGCAAGAATCAACGCAGGGTGTAAGTCTATTACGTCCGCCTAGGGTGTGCTAGTCGTGCCGCGGGACTTCTCACCCAAATGCCACAGTGCAGCTCCACGATTTGCCCATGCCTTTGTACGTCTTCTGTAACATGCAAAACGAGCAACCCAAGCACTCAGCCACGATGCAGCACTGTCGGTTAAACTCGTTCACATTGCAACAGCTCTCCTTCCAGTCGAGGCAGTCGGAGTCGCTCTTGATAGCCAGTCCAATAAACGTTTCATACCTTACCAGGTCTTGCCTAATAACCAAAATCTTTCTACAACTTTCTGGTCACTGCGGTCTGATGCGCTCTGCATGAATAACGCCGGAGTGCCATGGCAGCCGTCTGACGCCAGTCTCTTCCCGGATGCGGCCTTCGCTTGTCTCCTCATCCTCCAGCCACAACTCTTCTGCGGCAGTTGGCTCCTCAGACTAGGACCGTGCGCAAGTAAGAATCTTAAGGTCTTCCTGTACCATCAACAGCCTGCACGGAGAGACAGCCAATTCCTTCGGCAAGTTCTTCTGCCGTGCATCCCCGCTTCCCCATGCACCTCAAGGTCAAGGCGAAGTTGTCAACTCTGACCAGTTGGCAGCTCGGCATTGCCGGGAAAAACATGTTGCCGCCTCTGGCTCTGGTGCCCAAATGCACACGCCCACTGCTGCGTGCATCTTCGACATAGCTCGCAGCTTCTTTATACCAATGCTTTTTGGAGCCGAAAGATTCCGCGCAAGCCTCGCGAGCAGCATCCCCTTTAAACCCAGCAACAGATCCTGCACTGACCTGTGGTTTTTGAAATCCTTTGAAATCCCCTCCGGATTCATACACTCTTCTAAGATTCATTTGTTCTGCAGAGCGATGCACAGGACCAAATTCGAGGTGCTTAAGCCCAGCTAGCATTGCAGCAACTGCAACCTTTTCAAACATGCTCTCCGCCCGTCTGCAAAGAAGACGGCTGTTGCTTGCCCTCATCCTGTCGGCGGCCTGCACTTCGCGATCGTTCTCTGTGAACGCCAGATTGGGATGGAGGCATGGCTATTGCAGGTACATGTGGTTGCACCTTTTGCGGTTCCATGCAAGGGTTTTGACACGGATATGCGCTGTTTTGATTGTTTTGGAGCAGAAGGCCAGATGTGCAAGCTGCAACTGGAGCCAGCGAAGGCGCAGATTGCCAGTGAATCTGTGATGGCTGCGCTGGGTGATGCCCTGGGTAATGCCCTGGGTGCTGCAGTATTTGCGCCTGCATCTGCCCTTGCACCTGGCTCTGACAAGGCATGCAAGGCATTGGGGCCGGTTGTTGCAGAAACGGTATATTGGTGGAGCTGCTAAGGTGAATCTGTTGGACAGGGATAGCCTGTGGCATGTTCCAGGCAGTCTGCTGGTGGGGCTGCTGGTGCATGGTCATGTTGGGAGGCATGTGATTCAGCATTTGGTTGGATTGCAAAGGCATCTGAGATGCTTGCAATTGGCTTTGCGAGCACTGCCCTGGCATGAGCTGCAGGTCGTTGGACGGTTGGAATGTTCGCATGTTGCTGGCTTGGCTGATGGTCATGGGTGGCTGGTTATTCCAGCTTTGCCCGATCTGCCCAAATCCCGACCAACCTGGATCGCCATGGACTGGGCTGCTCATCGCAGTAGAAACTGTTTGCTGGCTTGGTGTTGGTGTTTGATTGGCTTGGACAGCAGGTGGAGGTGGTGGTGGCAATGCTGGGGTAGTAGATGCTGCAGAGCCAGCATCCCAGGGCAAAGGAGGTTCTGGAGGGAATGGTGAACGTGTTGGGCCGGCAAAGGAGTGGAAGTCACTTTGACGCTGAAAAGGTTTCAGGTTGACGTCATTGAGCCTGAATGGACAGTGCATGAGCCGATCGAGCAACACATCTGGTGAGCCTCTACTGGTTCTCAGACTGAGCTGCTGGCTGCATGGATTTGCCATGGAAAGATGGAAAAGACAGAGGCACCTGAGATGTGTGCCCATGCGCGCAGGCAAGACTCCGCACAGCCCCACCGGAAAGGGGAAGTGTGAAGTGTTTGCTTACCACGTAGCTACATGATACATGCAGACCTAAGGCGGATCAAACGGGGCACGAAACCAGCCACTCTGATTCGAGGCCTTCCTAAGCCCGGCTATCTGCAGCAAAAACTGCCGCTGCTACAGCTCAAGCAGCAGCTCTCCAAGCTGCCAGCTGCGACCAATCTCAGAACTATCGTAGCGCTGCCGATCATAAGCTCAGAGTTTGGATGGCTGATGCTCACGGGTTTGAACGAGGGTACAACTATTCTTCTGTTGCCCTGTGCTACTCGTAGGCTGTTGGGATTGTTGACACAGTGAACGGCTCCTCCGGGACTCTCTGGTCTGTCAGGGCTCGACGATTGCGGAGCCCTGGAGCTCCTCGAATTTAAAGGAGAGCTTGATCCTTTTTGGCCCCCGAACGTCGATCCGAAACAGGCGCCAAGTTCGCAGCGTTCTGATCGCACCCAGACTCTCTACTCTCTACGACGCTGCTCTTTGTCACTCAGCCAAAACTTCCCAACACGCAACGCTTGTCCCGCAACTTCGTCCTTTGCAATACTGTGATCCGCTGCGAAGGCTTCTGTGGAGGTCGTTCCAGCAGAGCTGGAGCCGTGCACCGCATCGGATTTCACACTGCCCGCCTTGCAGCTGCCGCCTGGCTGCAAAGGACGGACGTGGGCGGAGCGTCAGCGGCCACTCCCTGGCTCTGTGTCTCGAGCGCGTCAGGCAATGCACATCTGCGTCACTGCCATATGGAGACGCAGCTACGTTCACAGCTGAATCAATGAACTACAAAACCAGCCTGAGAGTGAAGGGCGATGCGCAACAAAAAAATATATCTACAAGAAAAGAAGGCAATGGGCACGCCCACCTCAAGTTTGCTTGACTGATAAATTCTCTGAAGCTTAGGGCCGAACCATGCCGCTGCGGCGCTCTGGGGCCTCTCCGTGCATAAAAATGAAAGCACGCAGCAAACACTTCCATCCAAGCCAGCAAGCCCGTTCTGTCCCTGTGCTGCGTCATGAGTCTGCTGAGGTCTCAATTAAGTCGAATCCGTTCAAGTATACATCCCTTCGTGTCACAGGGCACATGCATCCCTAGCAAGGAGCCCGTCTGATAATAAGAGGGTTGCGCCTAGACCTTGCTTGCAACTGCATCTGCAACCACCAAACTGCACACAAGAATCCGGGATGGGCCGAACTTACGGTAGATTCTACGCCTCAGCTTTTCTGTATTTGAGAGCCCACCGTGCGCAATGCAATTCAAGACGGTGTGTAAGCTGCCGCAGCCAAATCCCAATTTAAAGTCCCCTGGCCTCCTCACCGAATACTAAGATAGAGGAGGATATGTGGGTTTTGCCTTTCCGTGCCTCCAGCCCTTGACAGGCAACTGCAACATTGCAGAAGCCTACGTACTTGCTTTTGAGTCTTTCCTCTACCGTGTCGAAAGACTGGCAAGGAGTATGCCAGCTGAAATGTGTCTGCAAAACTTCCACTGCTTCATGCGCAAAATAGCGCAAGGTTTGATGATTTAGAAGATCAATTATCATCAACTATCTGGAAATTCATAGGCCGGCTTGCGCTTCACAACTTTCAAGTTGTCAGTTCGGAACCGTGGTTTGATCCAGGTTCTGGTCCTACCCCCTGCCTTGAGGCTCTGTGCCAAGAGGGCACGGCCTGCAGTGACCAGGGCCTCAGATCACTCAAAACTTACAATGGGCCAGCATGCAGCAAATTGATCTGATTCAAACAGCCCCAACTGAGCTTGGAGGCACAGATTGTTGTGTCATCCACGGCATTCCCTTCTACGCGAAGCCAGACCGGAGGCTTCTTGTGCAGCAGCTGAGCCCACTTGGCTTCCTGGAGAAGAAAGTGCTAGCTCTATTCACTGCAGCAGCGCACACCAAAGAGTACCCCTTGTGTTGGGCATGCCGAGCGTCGATGGCCTGCACCAATCTGTGGAAACCATCCAGTGTAATGCGGTTATGAGACAGGTGGAGCTCACTGGGCAGATTCTCAGGTGGCATTGCTTCAATCCAGCCTGCGATTGCTCTCCTAAGATGTCTTTTAGAAAGAAGAGCAAAGAGTCAAAAACTGTGTTGTTCCAGAAAGCTGCTCTTGGCAGCCATGCTTCGCTGCACCATCATCTAGCCCACAATCAAACGCTTTCACACGCTCGACACGAGAGCAGCTGTCCCGCAAAATCTGAAACAGCAGGTCCTCAGCTGACACAGCTTCGTGTCTTCTCTGCCGTCATCAAATGTCTCAAGTTTGTCTGTCAAGCCCTTCAGCAAGGCAGCGTCGGTTGAAGGATGGTATTGCAAGGTCTCTGCTGTTGCAGGCATTCTTGCGAAGCTAGCCGAAACCCAAGCAAGTCCAGCGCAGCCAAGCAGGATGTGGCAAGCCCTGCTACCGCCGCAACACATCCCAGAAATGGAGCAGCTGGGATCCTAAAATGTGCGGCGCAAGCAAGATCACGTCGGCCAGCCAGGGAGCAAGTTGCATGCTGTCATGCTGCCGCGCAAGGCTTTCATGCAGTGTCTGCCTCACTGCCCTGACATCAATCCGAAGTCTGCACAACGCTGTCCAAGAGAGCTTAGTAAATCCTACTCGCCCTACTTGGAGTGCAAACGCTCAGCATCTGTGCCGGAGCTCACCCCTGCCATTACCCTGAGAAGTTTGCGATGCAGTGGCGCACAGCTCATAGTACCCATGAAATGGCAAGCCTGATCTTGAGACCCTATGTGGTGTGCTTTCATACCATCACGTTTGATGCCAGGGCTCCACACTGCCGGCTGGCCTCATGCAAACTCCATGCACAACCGTCCAGGACTGCGCGTATGCTCTGCCGAGTCCCCAGCATGAAGGTTTTTGCAATGTCAACTTGAATGAAGCTGGCAGCACCAACCTTTCGTGACAAGAACTGCTCTGTCTGCTCCCTACCTGACACCCTCGTGACACTGACTAGCACAACACAGCCCTTGCTACTTGATGCTACTTGCATCAGCGCGTCCGAAAAAGGAGCCAAAGCTTCTCGCAGCTTCTTGCAGAAAACCTCTCCCTTCCCTGGCTCATCCTTGAAAGCGGCCTCAAGCATGGAGAAATTGCAATGAAGCAGGTTCAGTAATGTTAGCAACAACATCCAGGCTGCATCCCCTCGCGATGGCAATCCGCTGATGAAGCTCCTGGGAAGCCCGTCACTTGCCAGAGACAAGGGAGAGAAGCCATGGCTTGCCATGAAGCGCACGAAAGTCAAAGGCCTGGTGCTTTCTTGATCACTTGCTGAATGAAGTCGTCAACTGCAATCTAAAGTCTAAAGTCTAGAGCTGTCTAATTAACAGACTCGGTGGTTCCTTGCGCATGTTCAAGCCCTCCGAGTGGAGCTTGGGTTTTGACAGCTTCAGGATAGATGCCCAGCAATTACTGGTTCGCATGCCACAGCGAGACAAGAACAACAAGGTCAACAACAAGCAGTGGTCCATCTCAACAATCTGAAAGACACAGTCAGCAAGCAGCAGGGTCCACCTTGCAAAGGCTGGCACCGCAGGGCTACATGACTTCGTGCCCACCTTGTGACACAAGCACACACCTCTGACCGTGGCGGGACGGCAGATTGCAAAGTTTTTGTTCGATCCGATTGGTTGGCTGCTATTCCCTGCCCATGTGCGGATTCTTGATTCTTGCCTTATTGGGTTGGTAGAGGTCCCGCCAGTTTGAACCTCACGCCTGCGACAAGCTGGTCATGTCCAAAAGCATGTATGAGCTTCTGAGGCAGCGTGTGCACGAGCATGACAGTCCTCAACTTCTGCGGGGTCAGTTTATCGATGCGATGGTCTTCAAGCTCCCATACCGTTGACAGAAACAAGCGAGCTGCAGGACCACTTTCCGTGTTGTCTGCATATCGCTGAAACTAATGGTGACCGCACTAGGGCGAGGAACATGTGCGGCTGGGCCAAAACACCTCACGAGACCAAGTCTCACAAGCCAAGCCTCAGTCTCCGCAAAAACCATGTTCTTGTCTACCGCCTTGACTAAAGCCGTCTGCAACACAGGCTCTGGCTTCTCTGGATCGAAGGGCAACTTCCGACTGCGCGTGGATGCTTCAAGGCATAACATAACTGACTTCAGTGCGCTGAAGTGATTTCATGGCTATTGCAAGCATCGGCAAGACGGCACGATGTTCAGCATGAACATCTCATGACTTGCATTGGAGCAGATTTTACGAAAGCACAGCATGCGCACATTTGCTGACCATTCTAAAACAAACATTTTTTGAGTAGGCACGCAGACCGGCAACCCCCTCACCGTCTGGATCCCTAAATTTCATTGTACAGTCCTTGTAGCTCTGGAAAAGGAAGCTTTTTCTCCGGACGACTGCGTTATGCGGTACCAACTTCAGTCTATGACGAGAGCACAACTTGGCTTCGACCTTTCAAGGGTAGCTGCCACAATCTGCTGGAAATCTTCATGAACGTTTGCCACATGATTTGTGTGTTCCCAATTTGCCTGAGGACATCACACCAAGTTGTCTTCAAATATCTGCAAATATCAGCAGGAGATCGCAGGAGCACGCCACTACGGAACGGTTGCAGCCAAAGACAGCAGAAATTGTCGGGGATCATCCCCGAGGGCTGTCTTAAAGCCAGGCCTTGCAGTCTCCATGTTGACTTTGTATGGTTTGGTTTCGAATTACAATGATGTGGAAAGGCGCATATCAGGCCGAGCCTTGGAACAATCTTTGTGTGCAAATGGTGAGACTCTGAATTTGGACAGAAGCGGAACGAAGCATGCGAACATCTGCGGTGCCTCAATGGTCCACATCAGAAACTGCTGCAGGCAATCCCGTGCAAAAGCTTCTTTCAGGGCAACCCCCATTTGCTTCATCTACCAGCAACAGCGGATGCAGGCATCTGTTTTCGTGCAGATTGTCCAAGGGTATTGCGCGCAGGTTGGTCCCCCGCGCAGCATTTGTAGCTCTTTGCGAGGTATCATCACGAGTCCAACCTGCCCGCCTGTACACCGGTTGCGCCAGACCGGCACCCCATGTGTGCGAAAAAAATCGAATGGTCCGGAGCAACATGTGGCTATGCAAGAACGCCTTTTCTGGAATTCCAGGAAGGTCACTTCTAGCACTAGAAGGCTGAACGAAGGCATGAGCCATTCGGACCAAAACCTTCTTCAGCATCAGCACCATATCTGCAAAGCCTGCGTTGACCCAGGCCAAATAAAGCACGTCCAAATCAAATCTTACGACTGAGGCAAGCCTGTATCGCAGAGAGGTGCTTGACCAAAATTGCGCTCGGCATGGGTCACCCAGTGCCGTCGAGCATTAGCTTGCCTCAGGTTGTGCAGTTTTTGCTGCTCTGCAACTCGCCCGTGATTTCAAAGTCGCGCTGTCTCATGAACAGTTTGAAATTGCCACTTCTGCTTTGCTCATCCCTGGACACCTCGCAAGTTGTCGGCTCCTACTCTGATACTCCAGGCATCAGAGAGAAAGTGCATGGGAACCTGTAAGTAGCAGATCAATCCACAAGTTCAGGGAGCGAATGTCTTCTTGGAACCGTTGGGTGGCTCTGAATCTTGTGACCAGGCTCCCACGATAAGCAGGGCCACGATGGATTGCCAGCGTGTTCTGCCGCAAGCATCAACGAATTCCTTGCAGCAAGTTGCAAAAGCCTGACTGCTCAAGCACTGCAATGCGAGCAGCATGTCATTGGTACAAAGCAGTCCCAGGCTCCCAGTTCCGTGCAGTGGAAGACGGGACCTGACAAACATTAAGCGTTGGACCAAGACCAAAGCTACGAAAAGTAGCAACAAGAAATCCAACATTACAGAAAACATCCACCTCTGAGGTGCCAGTGCTGCTTTGCATGGATGAGGAAAGCTGAGATAGGCTAGTCAAGTGATGGTCCGATGTGGTCACGGCTGTGGGGCCGGTACCTGTCCAGCGAAACTGATAGCTACATCTTCAACTGATGACGGCTGTTACCAGAGGACCTGTTCCGTCGAGTGAAGTCGTTGTCGCCGTCGCTGTATCTGACTCGTCTTGGTGGCTGGATGTTGAAGAACTCTGAGAGCCTGCCAGCACAGCTTCCATCAAAAAACCAAGTCCGGGGCATCTCTTAGCCTCTCTCTATCTCTCTATCAAGAAATAGCCGAGAGACCCGGAATCCAGGTGCGCGAAGCTTCGACTGGGCCAGCTCCAGCTGCAGCGACCCCTTCAGCAAGTGCAGGGCCTCCTTTGACACCAATAAGCGCATATGAGCCACGGTAGGCGAGGCTTCTGATGTCAGCCCCACCCAAGCTCTCGATGGCTGCCTTGGCCTCTTCAGTCAGACTATCTGTTGCATCATCCATGGCGGCCATCATGAAGATAGTGCCATGAGGCAGATTTTGCAAGAAGTTCACCAGTGGTGCGGAGCCTGAGCCTTCGAAGCCAGTGTCAAACACACGCTTCTCCATCACTTGACCATCCTCTTGCAAAGAGACGACGCTCAGTCCACGCCCAGGATCCAAGTCAACAAGCACCCCGTTTACCGAGAACTCCACAAAGTTACCATCGGCTGCCCCTGCACTACGAACTCGCAGCACCAAAGGATCACCTGTATTCACGCCAGCTGATGAGGTCGTTCCGGCACATTCTGGCTTCCAAATGTTTCGGCCACTGATCTGCACAGGCCCGTCACCAGATGCAGCCAGCTTCTCTGCTACTGCAGATTGCCCCTTAACTCCAATCAATGCGTACGAGCTTCTGTATGCCAGCTGGTCGATCTGCAGTGCTCCGAAACCCTTGATAGCACTCTTGGCTGCAAGGGTCAAGTTGTCTGAAGCATCATCCATGGCAGCCAACATAATGCCCGCGCCTTCCGGAAGCCCATCCAGCAGTGCGGCCAGAGGCGCCGAACCGCTGGCTTGAAAGCCTGTGTCAAAGACGTGCATCTCGGACACGTTTGAGTCTTCCACGACTACAACACTCAGACCACGCCCCGAGACCAGGTCTACCTGCACACCATCGATGTAGAACTCTGCGAAATTGCCGTCCTGCGAGCCGGCACTCTTCACCAACAATTCCACGCAGCCATTTCCTGAGGATGTGGAGGACGCCGGGGATCCTGATGTGGTGGATGGGCTGGCAGCCGTGCTTGTCGAAATATTCTCTAAGCTGATAGGAGGCGGGCGGGTCGTGGTCGGTTCAGATGCCAGGGGTGACGCCAAGACCAAGAGCTCCATCGTACGCCCGTATCCCTTAGAAAATTCCCGCGTCAAGTCGTCAACGTCTGGCGTGAGATCTGCAGCCTCCCAGCCCGCGGCAAATGCCGCCACATTGACTACCATCCGGTACTCCAGGATTGCAGGCATGACCATATGCAAGGAAACGTTTCCTGCAGCAAGCAGGACAAGCATGAAAGGACAGGTTAACGCCTAACTCCCGCACGATGCATCGCAAGTGGTGCATGGCCAGTGCAGCCAGGTTGCTCCCAGAATCGGAAGCATTCTGCAGCAAATGCTGCATCTCATGAGTATCATTCACGAGCACGTAAAGGCTTTCAGCACTTTGCATGTCAAACGTTTGAACCTGCACGGTAACGCATTTACGACTTACAACACTCATGCGACATGTACTCATGCAATCACGCAGAGATGCACCGAACCTCCACCCGCAGGGCACTAGTGTCACCTGACACCGGCCACGCAGCAGCTCATGTTGGTGCTAAAACTACATATCGGATCCGGCCTGAAACCTCACAAGAAGAATTTCCAAGCGCCAGTATGCTGCAGATCTTGGATGCCGCCTGCACACAGAACGCGCGACATCAGTCTGAGCACGTCTATCGGAAGCACACTTAGCTGTAACTCTTTTTTTGCTGGCTTAACCCCTACTTACTTGGGAGTGTTTTTGCGGTCGCAATTACGCAGGCTGCAGCTGCAATGTCTCAATATCGGACAATGATATCTCGATAGGACTGACAAAACATTGAACTTGAATTTGATGATCAAAAAATGAAGTAGGCATCAGAATACTTATTTCTCAAATGATGCAGTTCACAGCTGATTTTCCGGAGAGGCTCGGATGAGACAAAGTTGGTGCCAAAGAGTGCATGGAGGCACCTGGCATAAACAGCCTATACAGGACCTTGTGCCCATGGGGAGTTCAGACGGGTCATGGCAAAAATTCTTCCTCCGGAAGTTGCCAGGGTCGGCGGAGGGGAAAGTGGCGACCGCAGCTACAGCCAAACGCGCCATCGGAGAAAACGACATAGTTTAGCACGCATGATGATCTTGCCGCTCGTTCGTTGGCCTCTTGAACCTGCCTGCGTTTCTTTTGCAAGTCTCCGCTTCATTAGTTTTCTCGCCATTGATGCCAATCTGCGTTGGTGGTTGGGGTCACTTCCCGAAATTCCCGTGCTTGATTGTGCCGTAGAAGATGTCGCCGGCGTGCCCCCCGCGGTGTATGGCGTCCATGGCTGTCTGGTTTTACGACGTGGCAGGATTCTCTGTCCGGAGCCTTCATTCTGATGGTCAGTTGTTCTGTGCCATGAAGGGATCTCCTTGTCTTTGCTGATTTCTGATCTCCCTTGCCTCCTCGACAGGGCACTCCTCGGTGCTTCTCGCTCTTCTGTCTGGGTTCCCAGCGCGTTGCAGTTTCCTGCTCAGGGTGGTGTGATCGGGCCCTCGTTCGGTTACGATGGCCGCTAATTTTTTCCTACGTGCACCCAGCTTTGCCCATAGCTCCATGCCAGGGATTCCGCTAGGAGACCCTCCGGCATGTAAAGCCATTGTTCACCCGATTGGGATGTCGCTGGCACCGCGCTACAGGAAAAAAGGGGTCTCAGCTGTTCCTCCCTGACCTTGCCTTGTTTGACATTTTTTTGGCGTCACTGTCTGTTCCGGGACTTCATGTTCTTGTCCGTGGTCGTTTTCAGGTCGCCATCTGTCCTTTTGCTGGCTTTGTCGTTGCATTTCACGCGCTGGTTCTTCGCAAGGGTCTTGCGCAGCTGGTCAGCTTGTTTTCGGCGTTGCGGGCATTGTTTTTGCGCGCTGTGACCTTGCCCGCCGTCTCCGTTCTCCGACTGTTGTCCATGGCCATGTTCTGGATGGGTCTCCCTACCACCACGGTTCATCATAGGCGGGTTGTGTGCCATACGGTCGCTCCATCGGGCTTGCCTTTCTGGGCGTCTTGGTCGGACTTCCCGTGGAGTAATTTCCGGAATTTTCACACGGCTGCCAGTTTGGGTGTGTCTATACCAGTCGTCCCACTCGCGCCACTCATTCCACAAGCCTTGAGGGTGGTTGCACGCATCCGCAGTCCACTGCTGCCATTCTTGATCTTGATCTCGCCATTGTCCCTCATTTCCGATTTCTCGTCTTGGCGTGGCCATCTGCTTGCGGGGACCACTTACGTCCCGCCTGAAAATTGGTTTGAGTGTGGCGGTTCCACCATGAAGGCGTTTGCCATGAACCACTTAGACCACCACGTTGCCAGGTTGTAATCTTTCTGGTCAGCCTGCGTCATGGGGTTCAGAAATTCCTCGGTGTTGCGGCGGTTGCTTCACGACTGTTCCCCAGTACTTTCTCCCTGCCACTGCTGCTCATCATTTCCGTCCCCCTACGTGGCTTCTCCCGTCCAATCTCGCCAGTGTCGGGGACGACGATTCTGCTGGTCCGTGGGGCTGCTCTCCATGCCCACGGTTAGGCTGGGCATGGCTGAGCCATGTTGAGCCATACCACGGAGTTGTTGTAATTGCTTAGAGTCGCACATCTTGAGCAGGACAGAATGTACTGCCCATGCTCCGGCCCCCCATGATGCCATCGAGCTGGCTATTACGGGATATCTGCTTGTGAGCATAGAATGCCGCCCTTGCCTTGCATCGCGGCCGCTAGCCGTTAAGGTGCCAGTCTGCATTCTGAGAGACCAAGGCTGCCCATGACCTGCACAACGTGGTTCTCATTCGCAACCGGGATCTTCTGGTTGTCGAGGACGATGTGCTGGAGGCTGCTCCCTCTCTCTATCTATATTTTTCCAACAATCCAAGTCACATCAACCTGAACTGCATCAGAGGAGGAACTCCCCTAAGCCAAAGGCAAAAAGGGGCAGTCTCGAGGCAAAAGTGCTGCCGCGAAGAAACCCCAACAACCTGCGTTGCCGTAACATCACTGCCATGCTACTTGCGCATGTTCATCCGTATATCCCGTGTCCCCAGCTTCTGGGTCCGAGAACCCTGCCCAGCTTCACAATCAACATGATTGCGCGGAGCTCGTGACCCACTTGCTCAATCAGGCTGAAACTTGGAAAGTCTTACGAGCCTGGACAGCACGCCTCTTTGGACAAGAGCCCATCCATTACAGGGGGGCGCACGTATATGCAATTCTGCACACCCTATGCCTGTAGTGGTGGTGGCTAGATGCTGAATCCATCGCTTGGGCGCACGCACCGGGTGGAGTTATGTTAGCCTGACCATGACCTGCTTGACCATCTCAGGCGAGGTCATTACTGGGATGGGGCAACAGCCGTTAGATAAGATCTGTCTCACAGGGGTCGCGGAATGTTCGCGCACGTCCACGCGAAATACTGCGTCTATTAGTTTCTCCTTCAAAAAAAGACTTTGGGGTCTGGTGTTGTGTGTGGTTTTGGGTTTGGGGCTCTTTAGAGTGTAGGTTTTGGGACTGTTTAGGATTTAGGGCTGTTGAGGGTATAGGTTTGCTTAAGGCCTAAAGTTTTGAGATTGGTTACGGGAAAGGCTGTCTAGGATTCAGGCTGTTTCGCATCAAGGGCTGTGTAGGCTTTAGGGTATGGAGTTGTTCAGAGTTTAGGCCTGTTCAGGGTTCAAGGCTTGGGTTTTTTTATGCACGCGCAACGCACTCAGGTTGCGGGTTTGAGGTTGTTTCGGATTTAAGGCTGTTGAGGGCTTAGGCCTCTTTCGTTTTTTGTTTAAAACCTTCGGACTTTTACGTCTGCACTTACGTGCAAAGGGTTCCGTGTGGACCATCCGAGATTCTCAACTGTCCGTCTGCACGGTTTCGGGTTTAGGGCCTGGGCTTGTTTAGTTGTGGCTGGGAAAAAGTACAACTGAGAAAAAAGAAGTCGTCACAACAAAGCAACAAAAAACAAGTAAGCCAGCTGCCCGTGCATAACGACCACGGCATATCCAACATCTGCTGGTCCGACATGTTTGCACGCAAACTGCAATGTGTGACATGCCTGCCTCCGGTCCACTCTGACCAGTGAAATTTAAGTCTGCGGTGATTGCGTAGTGCACCTCTGCCTGCGTGTCAAGGGCACTAGGTCGGAACAACGATTGGAAGTACTCTCATGGATGTTCTGCAACAGGACATGCATGCGTGCCGCACAACGAGACTGCAGCTTTGCCAAATGCAGCCAGTTGCGATGCTGACGTTGGCCGTCCGGTTGCCGTATGCAGCAGCTATCAGATTTCTATGGAATTCAGCGGGTACTGTCTCGAAGTCTGACAAGTTGTCCACCTTCAACGCAACGATGAAGGAGCTCTCCAGAATTTGCGGCGTCGCTGGTTGAACTGGTGCACATTGTGACAGATCGGGAGTGATGGTGTAATTCAAGAACAAGTCATTGAATTTGATGCAGCAAGTAGCTTCCTCAATGAAAGGCACGAGCCAAGGACTTTCACTTGAAGTGCCAAGTCAAAGACATATTCACTTTCTCCTTACAACGGCTCTTGCCACACTGTACCCCCTACCATTGCGCCCCAAACAATTCAAAGTCAGCTTGTGTCTAGCGCAACATGGACTTAGCTTTCAAAAAGGCCACTGGAGATCAGAGCAGACTTCTTCAAAATCGACACAACAGGTCCACGCCACCAAAACCAGGCTTTAGTTTGCATGATCTGCACAGGTGTGTGTAAGCCTCATCCACGACTGAAGTTGGCCCAACATAGGATCGAATCAATTGAGGGTTTGGGTGCCCAAATACCACTAACAGCACACTTTGGATTATCAAAACACCTCAAAAATTGGTCAAACAAATCAAGTCATGAAAATTGTGAAAAACTGCAAAAACTTGTGAGAAGAAAAGTTAGGAAATTAATGGCAGATCTTGGCATATGATGAACCATGAGGAAAAATCGTGAAAACTGATGAAAGATGACAAACATAATTAGATGTGATGGAGACATGATTTCGGCACAAGCCCTGCTGAAGCCGCGAGGACATAATCGGGATATCCTACTTGCAAAGGTGACACGGGAACACGGAATTTCATGATTTTATGCCCTCCCACTTGGCTGCTACGCATGCAGTGAAACTACAGTTTTCAGAATGCACCGGCAAATAACAGCAGATACCAGCATTGCCAAGATTAAGCTTCTGAAGCCTGTGAACGTCAGCAAGGACTACACTTCCAGGATGCAAATGATGAAAACCATTTAATGTGTGAGAAATGAATACAAATGATGAAATTCAAGGCAACATGGCACCAATTATGGAAAGTGCGGAATATCATGAAGAACGATGATAAAGTATAAGAATTATGGACATGATGAAAGGGATCAAACAGAATGAAAACCGATAAGAAGAAGGAAAATCAGGAAAATCATGTCACGTCCTGGACCCTGATAGAAAATGACAAATGCAGAAGCATGACCCAGTTCAAGTGTTGTAGCAAAACCCAGCGGTAGGGTTGGGTGCGCAGACCCGTCCTATTTGAGAAAACCTGGACGGAGTTCAGAACACGTGCTGTTTCCGGCATTTCTGGTCTGGCAATGATAGGTAGTAGTACGAACAAGAACGAGAACAGAACGAACGACGTGTTAAAACCTCTGCATGTTGTCCTTGTACCCTTCGGAAGTTGATGCAAATTGATGAGAACTGTTGAAGAATGAGGATGTATCGGAAATTTACAGTCATGAACAATGATTCGTTGAATATGACGAAAACTGACATAAAAGGAAAGAATGGAGGTGGAAATCTATGAAACACAGTGAGACATGATGAAGATTGACGAAAGATGAACGAAAGTGGTGGAATGTGTTTAAAACAATGGAACATAATGAGGATCATGGAATGTGACGAAAAATTAAACAAAAATGACAACTCATGCAACATGATCAAAGTTCATGAAGGAGATGAAACGTGATGAGGCATGATGCCAACTTGCGAGAACGATGAATATTATGGAATTTCTGCAGAATGCTCTAAACATGCGATGCGACATGATGAAAGCCAGGACGAACACATGAAAAATTACGAAAATTGATGAAACACGACGAAGATGCAAACAAATGCTGAAAATCATGAAAATTATGAAGGCGTTGGAATTTTTTTTAAGAACTGCAGGGAAACATGAAATGTCATGAACAATGCTGAAACATGATGAACTAGGGAGAAACATGATAACAAACACGTGGACTACGATTATTTTTTGATGAAATATTGAAAGACGAGGGACATGAAAACATACAATGCAAATTGATGAGAATGATGAAATATTCTGAAACATGAAGGAGCATGAAGGTCTACTTTTGAAATTGTGTCAATTCATGGCACAAGATGAACATGCGAGGAGGCTTCACGCTACAGCAGGATTGGGTTCATTAAATTAAAGGACCAGAGAACCCCACATGTGTCGTTTAACCCGAATCTATGTGTAGTGATATTAGGATACGGTCGCCGATTAAATCAGAAGATATGTTCGAAGAGGAGGCGAGAAGACGAAACGATCGTTCTGAACGATGTGAGGAGCTGGCGACGCGAACGCGAAGCAAACACATGTTTTCATTTTACGACACATGATCACCATCTTGCTCTCGACTCGAACATGGTCGTTCGTGTAGACCTGAGTCAGGTTTACTCACATGTACACTGAGACTGAATCTCGGACAGCATGCCAAGCTCACACCCTGCAACAGAATGTTTTTCCGTCTCACAATAGGCGCAGATGCCCGGGAAACCGCCGTTCGACCAGGTAAGTTTCGCTTTGTACTGCTTACTGTGCAGTTTCTGCACTGTTAAGCTATCCTTGTTGTTTGGGAACCACTTTGTTGTCACGATGAATTGGATGTTAATCAAGCCCATTGCATGTCCACAGGCTAGCAACGACACAAAGAGACTGGCATCCACTCGAGCAAGAAGATCAAGCAAAGCAACAAATTGCAAGTGCACATCCAAGCAAGCACAGCGAAGGACCGCTTCGAGAACAGGAGTCTGAATCTGCACGCCTTTTGGGCGCAGGCTTCTGAACACCGAGCAGCAGCTTTTTTTTTCCTCCCGAGAACGGACAGGCGAACCCAAACCGGTCAGCACTCGGCGGGACGCGCTCCCGATCATTAGGCCGCATCGCCAGAAGAGCACCCCCAGATAAGCCCCCATGACATTTGCTGCCAGTCTGCCGCAGCTCCCCATCCCGGGTCGCATGTCGCCAACAGGACTCTTCGCAGAGAAAGCATTGTAGAGATGGCACTTGCAGTGGACGAAAAAGAATGACAGGATGACGCACCGACGACACACAATGACATTCCCACTCTCTGAGCAATTTCCGACAGTCCCAAATAGCCTCCTTCGGCTGGGCCACAGCCACCCATAAAGCACGAGCCTCCAGAAGAGTGCGCAGAGGCCAAGAAGACACGCGCGGGTGATGGGGAATTCCGACCGTCTTGAATGTGAACAAAGGACTAGTCTCATCTGGAGCACCGACCGTCAAAAGCTCTCAAAAGCCTCCGCCGATTCTCTTCCCTCCATCCACAACAACACAGCCTGACGTCTGCTTGGCCCTCTCGCGGCAAGCAAAAATGCTAACTCCAAGTACTCACGAAGAGTCCAGTGTTCGAGAACATCTGGCAGATTAGGCTCTTCCACCCCGGGACGCTGAATAAAAATGGTCTGACTCGAAGATGTCCTTCAGCCTCTCCAAGTCGCCGCTCAGGGCCGCCGAAGCCACCGCAACACTGCGACCTTGATCGTCTGCCCCAAGCGACCAGAAGTCAGAGAAAGATGGGCGGTCGTAGCCCCCAACCTGGGCGCACACATTCCGGCGCTGAACCGCCAATACCTTCGAAACTGAAGAAGAAGAAGGCCGCTTCTCGGGCAAAGCCTGCCTGCCATGCTGACCAATAGGCCTGCCACAGCGAGCAGCACCAATCGTCGCGCGCTCACATTTCGCCGACCGCGAGCGCGACGGAACCGCAGCAGAAGCCCTCACCACGGAAAGCAACTCGTCGTCCCCATGAGCCTCCTCGGCCCACCTAAACGCTGACTTCAGCGGCTCGCAAGGAGTGCCGCGAGACGTGTCCACTCCTCGATCCAGCCAAGCTCGCACGCAAACTTTGCAAAGACTTCCCGCTGCGCGCAGAAAGAGATGATGATCTCGCGACCGCGGAGTCAGCTGGCTGATGCATCTCCTATCAATCCTACCGGGCACGCGCACGTACATGTCCAACTCCACCCACGCGCAGAAGGCGCGCGGCCGGAGAGACGGCCATACTGAACGTGTCAGCAATCTCAAGATTTCCGGACTGGCATTGGAAGCACGAGCCCACTCCAAGGCGATCCAATCCAGATGACTCGCTGTGCCACGACTGAGATCGGCGCCATGATGCAGCCCGAAAGCCAAGCATCTCTCACACTTGGCTAAAGCAGCGTGAAGAAACATGTAGTGATCCCGCTTGCCC